CGCGTCGCTAAGAGGGTTACGCCCCAACGGTTTTCTTTCGGGTTTCATCTCCATTAGAATGGCTAGATTTAACATTGGCTCGCCATGCCTATACAACCCTCCTCCTTTATCAGAGTTTGGGATCTGCTATGTTGAGACAACATAGGCGGAGTTTTTGACTAATATACTAATATTCATAATTTAAATTTAGCTGGTCTATATTATAAAAAATAATAAAACTACTCATAATGTTTTGATATAACAAAATCAAACATCTTAAGTGTGGTGGTGTAGGCTTAAAAGACCATTTATGCCGTTGTCAAAATTAACGGGTGGCATCGGACCCAGAATTTTTTTAATAAAATAAGAAACATAAATTTGAATAAAAGATACAATAAGAACTAGAGTTTTAGTTTAAAGTTGGTTATATATTACGCAATTCTGTTAATATTAATATATTATTAAAGTAAATATATCTATTGTACCATCATGTACATCATATACACATACATGTATAAAATAACTATATATTATGTTTTTAGTAATCATGAAAATATTTTATTAATGACTCATTTACTAATGATACTAACAAGTTATTTAAAATTACATTAATGACCATGACATATAATTTATAAAAGTTTTTTATCTAGATATTTATACATTCTAACTAAAACGTTCTATATGTCTATAATGATTATATAAGCATTATTGCACATATGTGTAGTTTATGGCCTAACATATCCTTATTTTTAAAATTGCAAATGAGAGTTAATAAAATATACAATAAGCACAAGAGTTTTGATTCAACTTGAGAATATAAAATAAGTAGCAGTTAAACTTAGATTCATGACGAGATAAGACATGAGCTGCAACAACAGCCACCACAGTTTAATCTAATGTTTCAAAGAAATACGTATTAAAAATAAAAGGTTCCGTGAAAAGGAACAAACTATGGATATGGTTGTCAACACACGTGGTTATCACAACTAGAGAGTACAAAATATCTATTATGTTAGAAAGTGAACAAAGTGTAATATGTGTAATTTAATATAAGTATTTTTTTATTAGTTTGAGATATTAAACAATAACTAATCCTTACGTCTCCTAAGATTCTATCCTATACGAGAGCATGGGTTAGAGGACTAATTTATATTTGTAGGTGAAATGACCTTCTAATTTGTTATATATCCACACAGTTCAATTCATAAAGAGGGGCATCCAACATGCCCATATACTATACAAATTCAGCCATACTGGGATACAAAACAAAGAAAGAAAAATAAAACACACAACCGTAGAATCGAATTAATGTTACATTCTTACCCGTGCCACACAATGATCCAAATCTAGATTCAAATAAAAGTTAACTGTATGAAGTAAATTTTTTAGTTAATATATATTAAACAAATAGGGTTTTTTATTGCTTAAGTATCTCAGCCCTTGTTTAGTTCCACCCCAATTTTCAAAAAGTTGCTATAGTACATGTCACATCGAATGTTTGCGGCCCGTGCATGGAGCATTAAATGTAGACGAAAAAAAACTAATTGCACAGTTTGGTAGGAAATTGCGAGACGAACGTTTTGAGCCTAATTAGTCCATGTTTGAACACTATTTGCCAAATAAAAACGAAGGTGCTACAGTAGCCCCAAAATCCAAATTTCGCAAACTAAACAAGGGCTCAATGTTAGTCCGTGCGGGAGCACAGATTGATAGACTAGTTACTTCAAATTCATGTACAATTCATAAGTACGAAATGGCCCATGATTTTTAGGCAATGAATGAGCATGTTTCATTCGTGCGTTTATGTTTGCCACACCTAGCCTTTGACAAACTATTATTGCCACAGAAAGTGTGGCGAGCAAAATTGAAGCCACACTTGTGGCAACTTTGACAAGAAAATGAGTTTATGATGTGTGAGATAGGGTGCTAAGAAAGTGTGGCGCGCTATAGTTGCGACAATGAGTCAAACAAATGCCTAAGAAACTGTGACAGGTCTAACTTGCATCATGGCAAGTTGTAGTCATCATCCAACCAGGCCTCGTAGTGGGAATGTAAATTGCTCCAGTGTCAACTGTCTATATTCATTTGAAAGAAGGCGTTTCATAGTCCATAAATTTGGAGTAAACTTTTATTCAGTTTATAAACACTATCAAATTTGCATGACAGATTCAAGGTTCCAATGAGAATATGCACGCAATTGAAAATTAAATTATTGCAAGCTGAGACATTTCTTTTTTCAGAAAATGTGCCGAGCATGTTTTCTATTAAGAATAAGAATGAATTTTACAATGAGAAAATAAAGACAATAGAAAGGAGTGACCTACAAACTCAAAGGCAACTAGGAAGCAATAAACAACCCTAGGTTAATAATCACTAGTGGTGATGGTTGGTAGATTATGAACTAGTGTGGTTGTTTAGTGGAGTTACCTTTTGTCTCTTTTGTTGCTTCATTGTAAACTATACAAAACTGGTATCCCCATTTCAACTTCTGTAAACTTTTTATTATTAATATAAAGCTGGACCAATGGTGTTTGGTGTAAAAGAAATAATGACCTGGCAACAGAACCAAATGTCCGAATCATTCACGTACAAAAATTAACACAGTGCATGATCCTCACACTTAATTTAGCAAATCTCAGTAAATTTTGCATTGGCTTCCGGACCTAGAACTAGCGCAGCTGCCATTTATGAAGGGAAAACATTCTAAAAGCCAAAAGCATTTGCTACCTAAAAGGCCAAAGTCAAGGACTTGTTTAGTGGGGGAAATTTTTTGGAAAATAGTACTATAACATTTTCGTTGTTATTTAACAATTAGTGTTCAATTATAGTCTAATTATGCTTAAAAGATTCGTCTCGTGAATTTCGTCTAAACTGTGTAATTAGTTTTATTTTTTATTTATATTTAATGCTTCATGCATGCTCTAAACTATGTAATTAGTTTTATTTTTTATTTATATTTAATACTTCGTGCATGCGTCAAAGATTCGATATGACAAAGAATCTTAAAAAATTTTACAAAATTTTAAAAACTAAACAGTCACCCAGCTTCATCTCGTGATTTCTGAAACAGCGTCTGCTCTGTACAACTACTGCCAGGACAGGAGCGGTGTGTCCAGTCTCCTGGCGTTACTGGAGCGCTCCAGCCCTGGCGTGGCCGGCCGGCGCCATAACTTTTGGCAGTGGCTGCATGCATGGCACCGGCAGGGCGTCGGCGGTGTGGGTACTGCGGGTGCGGCAGTGTCACGGACGTACACGTACTCACGTGGCGGCGGCACCGCGTGCCGGTGCGGTGCGCCAGAAGCGAGCGAGCGAGCGCTTCGCGCAGTGTGCGTGCGGCACGCCAAGGCGATCGATGCACCGATGCGCGTACACGACGCACGGCCGCACAGGCATGGTCATGTGGGTCTCTCTGCTGCCCGTCGCCTCACCTGGCATGGCTGTGGCTGGATTCTGCGTCGGCCAGTGCTCTCCCTGCCGGCGCGCATTCCAAGGAGATGTCTTTGGGCTGTAACGCAGATTGTTACGGCTCGAGGCAAACCCTAGTGGACCAGTAAACAAGAGTACTCCCTCCGTCCTAAAGTGTAAGACGTTTGACTTTTTTGCTTCAAGTTTGACCACTTGTCTTATTCAAAAAATTTGTACAAATATAGTCAAATTTAAGTTATTCTTTAAGAATTTTTATTAATAAACCAAACCCCGACGAAAGAAGTGATATTTTACACAAATTTTTGAATAAGACGAATGGTCAAACTTGATGTCAAAAAAAATCAAACATCTTGCAATTTGGGATGGATTGAGTATTAATGTTTCCTTCGTCACCCCATCATCCATAACGGTTCCTCGTGGTTGTTCATCGTATTTTTTTTCCAGATTTATTCACCAATCTCAAGATGCGTAATCTTTTAAAAGTACTTGCGTAGTGGAGTGTCTGTACTAAAATTTAAAAGATCATTCCTGGCCATAAAAAACCATCATTCCTAGTGATAAAAAGCAAGGAACAAAACCAATGACATATATTAGTAATATATACACGACCTAGGTATACAAACACAGGTTTTATTTGCTAGCGTGCTCCTAATTCATGAGCTTTGCCCTTTCCAAGTAACAGAGCTCGCATGCTATCGCTGCCACATATTGCCAGTTCGAGCGCTAGTAGCGGCCAAATACCATTGATAACGCACGCACAAAGACTACGTAGATACCAAGCATTTCATGGCCTGTCAACGCCCGTAAACTATTTGGATGGGCACGCACGAGGGCGAAAGGGACGGGAATCACACATGCGACCAACCAGGATCATGCCAAGCAAGGGACAACAAGGCATGGCGGATTTGCTTGCAAACGAAGGGATACACATACACCAACACCAGGCGAGCAAAAGAGACGCGTCGTCAAGGGACTCAAGCAAATCGACTTCCCGTGATATCGAAGCCAGGTCCCCTTTGGATGCAATTGACATCATAACAACTGAGTCTCAAGAAATTGAGAACGTCGAAAGACAGAAAACTGGTGCAAAAGCCACATCCAGATACGATTTTTTTTCCTCGGTGAACTTTGAGTACTCCACACAGCAAAGAAATGATGATACAGAAAAGTATGCTCTTGACAACCGGACCACACACGTCTAAAGTGAAAGTATCATCAGACCAACCATGGCAAATGGGGGTATGCAAAGTTACTCATGATGATTTCCGTGCTGTCAACTTGATAAATGGAATACGGGCAAAACTTTTTTTTTAATCTATCCTACTGACTCGGGATGGCTCAGTGCGCCATTCAGTCTATAATCGATATGCCTTTTGAGTGTATGTGATGTGGTGCTTGCTACGCTTTCTTTGGTGCAACCAGGTTACATTCCAGCTTCCACTCTTCAACATGCAGAATCTCACCTGCAATGGAACTCTTTCAGCACTTCTCGTGGAATGGGAGATGTATTCATCAATAAAATCAAGTGTCCTGGTCCCAGAAGGATTGTAGGATCTTTTTGGCTGTACCAGCCGACAGCCAGCACCTAGCTTTCCTCAGCTCTTCAGGTCTTCTGAGACAGCCGAAGGAATACAATGTGTTGTCAGAATATCTTGAGTTGCAGCCTTTGCAGTTTTCGTCTCCAGGACAACCAACTGTCAGATGGTAATGTTTGTCAAAAAAAAACTGTCAGATGGTAATAAGTAGAACCAATAAATAGTAAGAACGTCAAATTTGACAATGGATCAGGAAGCAAACATAACTAGCTTTTGTTTGCGCGCCAGATACCTGATCGTAGTCCAGATCAAACTTCAAGAATGCCTCATCGCACTCTTCCACCATGGTCACTAGGTGCTTCAAGTTTTTAACCGGTGTGCCATTGAAGGCAAGAACCTATACACAAAAAACAAATGATTGTATATTTAAAAAGGGCACTTATACTGCACACTCCAAAAACAGAAAATATTGGTTTAGCTTCATGTCATTAATAATCACAAATGGCACTAAGAAAGTTTATATAACCATACTAAACTTCATACAGGCACTGGTATCACTGCTGAAATATAATAATCCCTCCAGTTACAAAATATCGATTTAGGTTCATGTCATTAAGAATCACAAACAGAATTAAGAAAGTTTACATAACCATACTAGACTTCATATAGGCACTGGTATCACTGCTGAAATATAATCCCTCCAGATATATATATATATATATATATATATATATTTGATGTAATCTCGTGTATTTATTTTAAATGCTGATTTTTGCTATCTTGCACAAGGAAAAATATATTGTGATCATACTGTTCACAGACATGTTTATGTCCTTGTTCTTGTTTTATCTTAACAAAATATATACATTTTCAAAATTCCATGTCAGATTAGCATGCAAACAAAAGTATTACAGATCCATTGATGCAGTGGGAGGATAACCATGCAATCCAGATGGAACAGTTAAGTAGCATCTTGTTTTACTATGACTAAAGTTCTATTATAGAAGCTATTATTACCTGAATGTTGACTATATCTTCATAACCAATGTTTATATCTGCCACAAGCACCTGAAGATTCATGAAGAAATAAAATAGTGTTAATTATACAATAAGCTACAGAGCAAATAGAGATGCACTGTGTCTATGTAAATAAAAGTTTTCATGACCCATCATATAGAAAGAGACCTGTGACACCACCACAAGCTGCTCATCAGATGATTGCACCATTGCATGCAAATGCTTATCCAACAACTTGACCGGGGCATCATATTCATAGTCTTTTCCATACTGACAGATAGCACTCTATTTAGTCAATACTCAATAGGACAAATTTTATACACCACAAATCTAAATTGAAAAAAGAAACTGCAGCAATTCAGTGGATATTGGCATATTGCCAAAGCATGATTCCAAGCTATGACAAACAGAACAGGGGTTGGTTACTCCATGATAAAGAATTGAATAAGTTTAGCACGATGCCAATACCTACTTCACAAATAGAGAATTCCAGAATACAAAAGAACTTAGAAGTGCAATACAAAAATAACTGCCCCCTTAAAGTGAAAGGTTATAGATGGCTTCTGTAGCAGCTATTGAGTTGTCTTTTAAATATAATTGAGATACAAAAATGCATATTATACTGGAAGTCCAGATGAATATTTCCAGGATTACAACAAAGTCAGAAGTGAGCAATATAACAGAAATGGAAAGATTTACTGCCTTGATTATTTCATACATAAGCCTAAACAACAGAGGAGAAGAAAGACATCATACCTCAGATCGAAGATATGGAACAGACACAACCATAAAAACAAAGCCAGCAACAATGTAATATGACGGCGGCCTTCCCTTGATATGAGCTGGAATGAGTCTTTTGTGGGTTGCCAGCTTTATGTTAAATTCATGGATTTTTGAGTTGCGAAGTACTTTCACACGTGCCTTCTCACCAGTGTACTTTTGAGAAACAAGGTAGCTGAATCCAATGCGCTCACCATGCCTAAAAGGAACTGGATGACCAAGCAGTGAGAAAGAGCAAGAAGATATCAACTCAATTTTCCACGGATTTTAACTGGGTAACATGAAAAGGTAAGTTTCAACTGGATGAGGAAGTACAGAATTTACAAATTCCAAGATTGTGAAGTGAAGTTTCATTGTCCCAGGAAAATATTCGGTGCAAACCACTTCTTAAGGGAAATGTGAAAACCACCTAAAAACGTACTTAGGAGCTTTTAAAATAATTGAAACGATGCATAGGGTAATGGCTTTGCATGAAATACTTCATGACACTAGAATTAAGAAGATAGATGGTCTGGTCCTAAAGCTCTTTGAGAAGGCCTATGACAAGATAATTGGGATTTTTTGTTTGAATGCCTTAACAAGAAATGGTGTGATTGGATTTAAATGGTTATGACTACTGGGACCCTCAGTGTCAAAGTCAACAAATTGTAAAGAAAAACTACATGGGATGAGGGTATATTACTCAGCTAAAATGTAAAATCCAAATTCCCCTGTGGAATGATTTAATCAAGATAAAACATATTTATCTGAGTGGGAGGTCTATGGTTGTAGGGGATGGTAGAAGCACTGATTTTTGGCTTCACAAATGGTGTGGAAAGGTGTCCCTGAAGGCCTGAAGAATAAGTTCCCCCTTTTTCATGAAAAAATAACGAGAAAAATTGTTCAGTTGCTTGGATGAAAAACAGAAATTGGCATCTCACCTTTAGGAGATGGTTAAATAAGGACCTTCAAACTCATTTAAGAAGGTTACAGGATATCCTATACAGATGCAACATTATTGATGAGAAGGACAAGGCTAATTGGGACAGGGAAAAATCTGGAAGGTTCTCTGTAAAATCAACTTATAAGCATTTATATGTTGAAATGAATATGAACAAAATTTCAAACTAATCTGGAAGGCTAAACTCCCTCTTAAATTTAAAATCTTCATGTGGCTTCTTGTTCAGAATGTCATTCTAGCCAAAGACAATCTCACAAAACGCAATTGGAAAGGAAACGAGCCTTGCGTCTTTTGCACAGAAGAAACTACTAGTCATGTTCTTTGAATGTACAGTGGCCAAAATACATTTGGAGTTTGTTTGCTTACTCTTTTGGAACTAACTGTAGACCAAACAGTCTTGATCAATAATTGATTCGGATTAAGATTACCTCATGGAAAACAAGTGTCTACAGTGGGCTTAGCCGCTATATGTTTTGCACTGTGGCGCACAAGGAACTCTGTTTTGAAGGCAAGACAATCAAATGCCCAACAGCAATCATGTGTATGATTTGCTCTTTTCTTAACTACTGGTCAGGTCTACAGCGCAAAGAGTTCGTCTCCCAGATTGAGCAAGGTGTTGAGACCGTGAAGAGGATGGCATTGTACTTCCACCAGGTCTACTGCGGGAGGAAGAGTACCCAAGATCCCTGTGACAAAGCCTCTGGAAGCAGGTCTGCTTTTGCTTACCCATGCTGTCAGCCTGCGGTGCTGAATGTTAGGCCTTACACCTTGTAATGTTCCTCACAGATTAACCATGTTGAAGTACTTTGCGGCTAGCCGTTTATGGCTTTAGCTTGGGTGGTTTGTTCTCACAGTGTCTGATCCCTTGGTGATTAGAGTTGTGGGGATACCTGGGTAGGGTCTGTTTGTATGGTCTTTTAAATTTCCCTGCTTCGAGAAATTCGGTTTTACCATTGTGGAAAAAAAAATTGAAACGATGCACATCCATTTTGTCGCAAAAGTTTGAGATGTAATCTCAATCTAAAAAAATATCATATAAGAGTAACAAATTTCAGGTGCATGTGCACTTTAAAAGAAAAAATCCCTGAGAATTTATCTTCAGTGCACAAACACCTGAAATTTGTCATTTTTGTATGAATTTTCACAAGTTTGCATCTCAACTTTGTGAACAACTGCACCTACGGGTGCACTATGGATGGCTTTTTTTTTTTGAAAATTTTCTGAGTATATTTTTAAGGGGGGGTTTCATGTTTCTACGGAAGAGGTGGTTTGCACTGAATATTTTCCCACATATCCCATATCTGTACGAGTGTTTAGGACTTCAACACACAGAGAAAGAGCATATTTGAGTAGATACAAACAGAAACTGGAATCAAATCCCATAATCAGGATCATCAACTACAAGTGAGCCATACAAATGGAATACAACTTCTAATAAGCTATCTAAGAGAAAATAAAATGATCATTGGAGAATATGCAATAACAGATTACAGCTACAGACTTGTAATATAATATAACACCTCTTGGCCAATGCAGACAAGTTAAATAACAAAAAGAAAAAAGTGACAATTGGCATATCCAGTCATGTGAATCAAGGACTAACCTGTACCATCATTGGCAATATCAATACCATTAAAGCTAAGGACGATATCAGAAGGTTGGAGGCATCCAGATTCAGGAGCAGTTGGCTCAATCCTTCGTATCCGAACACCCTTTTGGTTAGCTTTCATTCTCATTGCCTTGCGGAGATCAGGATTTTCCATTTTTTGCCATTCTATTCCAAGTATAGGGAAACCTGCAAAATGAAACAAGATAATTACATACCAGATTCAGAACATAGGTGTAACTAGAGTGCACATCATAGTATATAGTACAATTTTGATCTGCGTGAGAGATATTCTCAATCAGGCAATGCCCGGGAGTCATCTTACCCCCCGCAGGTCAAGTTTTTTTCATAGTATATAGTACAATCTGAAGTAAATAAAATAATGACCACAATAATTTATTGATATAAAAAGGATTGCCGCCCATGAAAAAAAAAGATAACCAGGCAAAAGGAAGAACAACCAACCCATGTAGCTGAAAGGTTAAATTCCTCATGTGAAGCACAAAACTGAGATTAATAATTCTTTGAAATAGGGGTGCAGCTTGGACTGGCCCCAATTAACAGGATTGCTGATCCTTGTTCTTTACCACTGGGAAGCATCTCAGATCTTCAAATGAAATTAATATTTGGCAGTTTTAGTCTCATGATCAAACTCAAATCAGTTTGTCACACCTCAAAAGGTTACGGTTCATTATATATGTTATGTGGCCAGTTGGGATGGAGATGAGAGGGCGTGCTACAGTACCATGGAGCTACAGTGTCCGCGGGTACTGTTCACGGCGGCGGCGGCTAGGGCTGCGAGGGCGCTGGGGGAGGCCGGCCGCGGGGCTTCGCCCACGGCCGGCAAGAGAGAAGGGATTTCCTTCTAATCTCTTGCTTGATTAGATTGATACATCTCCTCTCCTTATATAGAGAGAGGTTTACTTGACTCCTAAGCAAGCGACTAATTAGCCCTAACGGGCTATAAGGCCCAATAGGCCCTTGACTCCTCTAACAATATAGTTGACAATACTAAATCCATATTTTTTCCAAGATGGCAATCAGAGTTAAGTTACAATTTTCATGCAGATATCAGTTCCATTGCTCTGTAATGTGTGCACTGCCCAAGAATTCTAGAGATTCATGTTTCATGACGGATTATTCATTGTTCCCTCTAAAATGACTAATAATATAACATCAGTTCTCACAATCATAATGTCATGACAGCTGATAGAAACCTAAACACGTCTAACATGTTCCTACGCAAACAAACATTTATTGGATTCGTGCCCCATCACATACACCACTAATACATGTCTCAAGACAGTAAATTGTATACAAAAATAGAACAGGAAGAAACCTGTGTATTCTCCGGATTTTTTGTAGTCTTCAATGAAGTGGTTAATAACTGGGGTGGGTATAACGTAGCCTATGTTCTCTGCATCTTCATGTTTCAGAGATTGAAAAGCTATACCGACACATTTTCCCTTATCATTGAAAGCAGGCCCCCCTGAGTTCCCCGAATTTATAGCTGCATCTATCTGTTTATGAGTAATATCCAGGCAACAGAAGTTTACATAAGTGAGATTAGTCATAGCTGTATGTATAAAAAGGCAAATCTATAAGTAAAAGTATGCAAAAATATAATAAAATACCTGTAACCCAAGAAGCTCTGTAGAACCATGAACATATGACAGTATTTCTATCCTAGAAACTACACCACTAGTCACTGAGATCGTATCGCCTCCAATTGGGTAACCAACAACAGTGACAGCATCCTGGAGTGCTGGCAGCGACCCAAACTCTACAGGTGAAACGCCTTTCCAGAATTCATCATCCTCAACAGTCAACAATGCTGAAATGGAAAACTCCCTTGTGGTTAAAATTAAGCAAGAAAATTCACTTCTTGGAACTTCATTTGTCAGAAGAAGCTGTAGTTTTGTTATGAAGCGTTACTTGAACATTTGATCGAATCTAGTTAGTTGACCAACACAGCTTCATAACAGCGCATTAAGGTCTCGCAATTGAGGGTGCATACAAACGAGGTTAGATGGTTTTTCTCTATAATCTTCTTATCCTGCCAGAATTATTACAATATTTTTATTATATTAATATTTTTTAACACACACTTCTCCATGTGATCTGTTCTGCTTAGGCTTGCCCCTAGTAGCATGCAATTTCTATATAAACAAAGACCAAAAAACGTGGCATGTACAGCTCTCAGATTGCAGTAGGCATACGAAGATAACAGTTAACAGTGTGCAACTTGATTCTCCATTCCAACATCACCATTATAAGAAGGAACCAAGCAGGCAATGATCTTCCAATATAAAATCATATGAAACGGAATAAGTCATTGAGACATCTTATAAATTCAAAATGCACTTGACGGTGGATAGCAACCAAGGAGGTGCTACGTTTGAGGCCTTACATCTACAGGATATTGTCAGTTTGTCAGATACCGCAACCATTAAGCTTCGATTATTGAAAGTACAAGAAGTCTACAACTAGTTCACACTACAAGGTATGTCGATTTTACAAAATTTCACGGGCTAAAATGAGGCGAGTCTAGTGAAGCATACCAATGTCACACTCGGTGCCTATGGCAAGGACAGTCGCAAGGTACTTGGTGTCAGAGCCACGCTTCTTGAGCTTGACCTGTGTGTAATGCTCAACCGAGTGGGCGTTGGTGAGCACCCTGCGGCCGCCAATGATGAACCCGCTGCTGCTCGAGCTGTACTGCCGCTTCCGCTGCCACGGCAGGGAGAAGTTGGGCTCCGTGTGGACGCAGAACACCTTCACGACGGCGTCCATCGACGGCACCACCTTCACCACCTGGTCCCAACGCAGGGGCTCCACCGCCGCCGCGGGAACCTCAACCACCATCTCGCCGTTGGGCGCGGCCGCCTTGGGCCCGCCCCGCGCCCGCGGCGGAGGCGAGGGCGAGGGGGCGGCATCGACCTCGGAGGCCGGGGGGCCGTTGCGGATGCGGCGGGACTTGCGGCCCCGGCGGCGGGGAACCGGGGAGGATGACGCCGGCTCCGGGTCCGGGGAGTCTGACGCCGCCACGGCGGCGGTGGAGAGCGGCGAGGAGGATGGTGCGGCGTGGTGGTGGGTGTGGTTGTGGTTGCTGTCGGGAGAGGCAGGTACCGGCGGCTTCGGCTTGCGGCCGCGCTTGCCCTTGCGCTTCCCGCCAGAGGCGTTGCCGTGGCTGTCCATGGAGGCGAGCTAGGGTTTCGCCTCGACGGTGGCGGAGGTTGCTAGAAGGAAAGAGACTGGAACCGGCTGGCACGGGTGCGGTCGTGCGGTCGGGTCCGAGCCCGAAGTGAGCACGAGCGGTCGCGGTGCGAGTGCGACTCGTAGTGCATACGTTTTTTAAGAAGGAAAAGCGGAAACTTCCGGCCATGTTGTGCTGCGCGTCTCCACCCGGTCCCCGGGCCGGGCTGAAACTACAGTGGGCTGAGTGGGCTGCCATTGATTTCCTAGGTTAGGTCCATTCCTTCCCCTAAGGCCCTAATTCTGACGTCTCCCTTCGATCTTTCGTGGCTATCGTCGCCGCCCTAGTAGCTTTTTGATCCTGACGAAGCAATCGACAATCGCAGACTTCGTCGACGCAACCGCAGATCAGTCGCGCGTGGTTACACACTTGCACTGTATGATAGCCTCTCATTGGAAAGGAGAAGAAATCACCCACATTTGCAGGTGCATTTTGCTTCCCATACCAAGACTTGGTAAGCAATTTCAGCAATCTCTTTCAGGCAAAATCTTCAGGGACCAAGAACACCCCTTGGAGGTCCAGGTCCAGTCAATCTCATACTGTAGAATCTATCACAAGTGGAGTAGGAGTAGATGCTTCTCCCTCCCACTCTCAGCAGCGGTAGTAGTGCAGTGGAGTACTTTGCCGTGGGTCATGGCCTCGCCGGTCGACTGCTGCGCGCTTCCTGTCCTGTGCCGGGTCCTTTTCTCTCGTTCGTACCTTGTGTCCACCCCGATTTGCGAGCGGCAAACGTACTGATCACCGGTCAATTCTACTGCAGAGGTGCTGTCTGATGCTTGCTCGTTTTGACTTCGTGCTGCGGGCTCATCGGGGCATTAATAACTGGACTCCGCATGTCCGGGGCGTCCAGCCAACTGGTGTTCCTGTCAGGCACGCAGGTCCTCCTTAGCTTGTCCTCCATCTCTGGTCTGAAGATGATTCTACTCCGTATGAGGGAGTGTGCTCTCGTGTAGTAGCTGGGATAGTGATAGAGTCAATGAGTCAGTAGGATGTTGCTGGCTGATGCACTCATGCCCAGTGGTACCACCGGATGATCGAAAAGGGGAGTGTGTGGGCATTTAAAATTGCCAGCAATTCAGTTGTTTTCTTAAATGAAGAACGAGTTGTGAATTTCTTTAATCAGTGCCATGATAATTCACTAAACTTATTCTAGTGAACACAACTCTGATCTTTTCGGAGGTTTTCCATTGTACTCTGCTGTGATATATTACTACGGATATAGTTCCATTCCGTCTAATTTTTCCTTTTAATGTTTATTATGCGCCACTGATGATATTGTTCCCTCACAACTCTTTGGTGCAGTGGTTAGAGTTTTAGTAGTTGCCCCTTCCCTGAAGGTAATCAGACATTCTTATGAACAATAGATTAAGTGGTGACGTTATTCTACATTTCTCCTGTCATGAATGATGAATGGTCAAAAGTCCTTCGATTCCACATGGACAACACACGTAGCAAGTTGCTTTGTTCCTGTCAGCAATTGTAAGACACGAATATTCAGACAGCTGGAATAACAAGCCTCATGGAAGTGATGCCATTTTAACTTGTGCTTGACAAGTTGATAACAGACAATTTCCTCAAAAAAGGTTGACAACAGACAATGCTATCCAGCCCAGGTATAATTGCAACTATATCTTACTTGAAATAATTACTTTCACGGACAAAATTGAATGAAATGGCGCCAGAAGTAACAGGTACTACTAACCACTTGACTGTTTGTGGTGCAGAGGTTTGGTCATTATGATACTTATCTGTAATAGCTTAAACTGTTCTCTGAATTTCCTGAATCTTCTGAACAGCTTGTACCTCCTAGTCCTTTGCACAATCAATAACAAGGTGAAACAGAGTTATTTACTCTTGGAAGTAACACTCTGGTCGAATGAGTCTATCCATGTGAAATGTAAATCTTACTGTCAGAATGAGTTCTCTTTTCAAGTTTCATATACGTGAATCGTGATGCAAAATAGTTTAGTCAGAGCTAAGAGGGAGCACCGGGAAATGAATACAGATGAAGAAGTCAATTGTACACCTCATTGCTAATCGCTATCTAGACTCATATCGTACGCATGCGCCATGTGCATTTCAATAAGATTTAACTGCATACGAATCAGTCCTAGCTTGAGCATTCTATATAAGCAAAGGCACAATTCAACTGATAAGAGCTGAAAACAATGGCCATTAACTATTGATCTGCTAGGGGGGTGTTTGGCATGACTCTTCTTGAGGGAGTCCATTAGAGGAACCAGAGCCTCCTCCAAAACGGCTCCAGCTCCTCTGTTTTTTTACTGAAGGAAAACATTTGGTAGAGCTCCTTCGTAGGAGGCAGAGCCGGAGTCGGGGAGGAGCCCTACTAAACAGGCCCTTAGTATCTTGATGTTACCCTTGTAAATGACAATTCTCCACTCTTTTTATGTTGAAAGTTCATCTTCAAACATGAAAATGGCCATTAACACTACTATAAGAGCACATAAACGGCAGGATCACTGGACACTTTTGTCATAAGAATAAGATTCGGATAACTACATTTCGTTTCCAGCTGTGCAACAGCAAAACACGCATTTGCACAAAGCAAGAAAAAGCCTACAGCCCTTGGTTTCACAAGCGCACGTGGGTGTTGGTGTTGATAGCTACACCCCTCTCAAGCTGTGCAAGGACACCACCCGTCCGTTGAAGCATTCCTGTGGACTGATGTGGTGCCTCCAAATAATTGCCCAAGCAAGCCGAGGCCGCGTCGTCTTTCCTGATCCGAACGAAGGCTGTTGTTATTTTGCAGGGAGAGACCTGTTTCGTCCCTGCCACGGTGACCAACCAAAACCCCATGGACTTTATGCCGGCATCGTTGCTCTCCTTGGTGAGGAATCCATCAGTCAGGCGGCGGTCAGAGACCCAATGGCGAGACGAGAAGGAACCAGCCAGCCGTGATGCCCTTGCCCCCCAATAATGCCCTCTTTTTCCATGTGCACTCCCCTCTGTAAAGATGGGAGAGCCAAGGGAGAAACCTAGCAGCGGCAGGATCTGCGTGGTGGTGAGGTGACACTCGTGTCCCCATGACCATCATTTTTCAGAGAGCATATATGGCCGTAGTAGGTGCTGCTGATGCCCAGTTCAATGGACATGCCCTGGACACTTTGAACTGTGATTTGAGTTGAGTTGACGCCCTGCTTGTTGTGGTCTTGTTATTAGCTTGCATTGGTGTGTAGTGTCTGTGTGGATCCCCACTCAACCCTTTCTTCTCTTCGGACATGTCAACAATGGAACTTTGGAAATTGCCACCGTCCTACTCTACTAAACAACTTTCTTATTTCTACTACACCATATATAGACACTTGGTTTTCTTTCTTAAACACGTAGGAGATCTATCTCAATCTACACGGTACCATATATAGACATGTTGCGACTTGCGAGATCAATTCGTACTGATCATTCGTTCAAAAGAAATTTTGTACTGATCGCAAAGTACATTGGGTGACGATATATATGATCCAATTATGCGGCGCGGTATATTCAATTCATCCAAAACCGTACCACGAAAATTCCCGCTTAAATCATGAGTGGGGTTATATACTAAAGGTTGAGCCAATAACTTCAGGGATCCGGCGGTAATAATACCCCCAAAGGTACCACCAGTCCACCACTACCCCTGCCTGTGTAGCTGCAGTGAACTCCCAGCAAGGATACAACGGCTCGCCCTGTTCACTGCCATGATCCCGCATGTGGAAGCGTTGGGACATATGCAGCATGTTCGCTTGTTGGTTTCAGTTAGAACTTATCAGCCAGCCAACAGTGTTTTCCTCTCACAACGAACCAGCATCAGCCGAGCTTATCAGCCCAGAAACCAACCAACGAACAGACCGATGGTTGCTGTTGGTGTTTGTTGTGCATGCTGCTTTGTGGTTGCCATTCAGTTCAGCTGTCCATTTACACCTGGAAGCATCGTCCCATGAACAATTTGCCACAACTATTCCCTAACAACACAGGCAGGCGCAGGTACGCGTCGTAAATAAAGAGCCATGATCGTGCATATACTTATCTCGCAACTTGCCATTTCTTGGACTGTGATACAGTGTGGTTAGCTACTTAGGTCTTTGTAAGCTGCGTCTCGATCGTCTGCATCTTTGTCACTCTCCGTGGCCATGCGTTGTCGATCCTTCGGGGCGGCGGGGCTGGACTCAGAATCTTAGCAGATTATGCGGTAAGCTTGGACCAGGCTTCTTGATCGATCGTTGGCGCAGCATTGATGGACCAGGCTTCTTGATCGATCGTTGGCGCAGCATTGATGCGGCGCAAGCTTTGATTGCTTGCCCTGTGCTGCGCAGAACACTACTGGCGTATCTATCTATCAATCATGAAGTATGTAGTTCCATACTGAAGACGAAGTATCAAGCATATAATAGTCCTCTATATATATATATGTACTTCTGCAGAATTTAAAAGTCCCTAGTTTGAGGGCTCGCATAAATGGTAAAGCTGATGATTCAGTTGCAATCATTAAGTATGATTGTGACTACTCTTGCCATCTAGAGCTCATCATCCTCCCCCCTAATACAGCGTTGGTGTTTCGAGTCACCACCAACAAGTAAATTTCTAATATTACGCGTCTGGCTCGGATGGTGTGCTTAGATGACACGAGCTTTATACTAGTTCGGATAGAATGTTCCTACATCCAGATCGTTGCTGCTGCCCGTGTTACTAGCACTGAAAGTTCGTAATAGGGGTTACAAATAGGCGAGAGAGGGCGGGTACCAAGTCTCTGGTGAAAGAGGTGAACGGGTGCTGAGAGAGCTCGGTTGCTGCTCGATCGTGTGTTCGAGGTTCGATGGGTTTGTTCAGACCTGGCTTGAATCGATCTGATGCCCCTTAATGGAGCGCCCTGCTTTCCCTTTTATAGGCCAGGGGAAAGCACGGGTTACAATGGAGGAAAACAAGAGAACGAGAGAGAGAGAGC